ATCTCAATTGTAGCACTTCAGTGGTAGCCTACAGTAATTTCCTAGGATATCTTACATTGGATGCAAAGCTGATGAGTTCTAGTAATTGTTGTGAATCGAGGTGAACTTTATTCCAATAATTTGCTTCCCACTGTTATACTGGGCTCTAATTATAGCACAAATTTGAGTAGTTTGCTCAACCGAAATCTGCAGTTTAAGAGTTTTGTCCTTAGGCTCACTACAAAACAAAATTTATTGCATCAAATATTGTTTTGCCTTTTTCTTTTATTCAACTTTCAACTTAACGAAGCTTTTACTCTTCTAGGTTTTATCTTTCTTTTTAATTTATTATCCCTTTAGATTTCTACTTGGCTAAGCTTTATTTTACAATTTATTTTTATTGAATTTCACTCTTATTATTCCACTAAAAAAATTCCAATGTTGCGGGTGCAACAATAAGATCCTGAACCATTGGCTGAATCTTCTAGGCATGCAACCCAAACATGAAAATCTCAATCAGTTGTGAGACAAAAGTCACAAAACTGTACTGAATGTGTGTGAACTTTAGTAGACCACATTTGAAGTGCTGTGCTTTTCTCCCTTTATTGGCTTAAATCATACAAACTTGGAGAAGTTTCTGGTATTCACAAACTCTGGGTTGTCATAGCTTTTGACTTGAGAAAAGAAAGAAGAAGAATGAAAAGTCTTGGTTCCATCTTCATTCACATGGCTAGGGTGCATAATAATTTCTTAAGAGGAGATTGCTCGACAGTTATAAAATTCATTCAATGTTATGTTAATGACTCAGAAGGAAGAACTTTGTTGTTTTCATTACAATTCAAATTTGTGCGTTTTCTTATTTAGGCATACTCCTGTCCTCCTATCTCTAGTTTATAACCTTTACATCTTTTAATTGATGGAGTAAGTTTTCATCCTCGACCATATGAAAATAAGAATTGTACTGTTATATTATATTTCATTATTTTGATGAGTAAGTCTTGAGTTTGGATTTGGTTCATTAAGCAATTGTATATCGTAATGGAAGATAGAGTGACAAAGGACTCTACCGAAAAATTTAGTATGTTTTGCTGTCGCTTCTTATAAATCTCACTACTTTACCTGATATTATATGCAGTTATATATGTGTGTCACCTTACCCCTTCATTGCTCTGAATTTTTTTATCTTCAAGTTATAAACTTTAGCCTTTACATCCTTATCCCAGAATGGAAGGCATGAACAGTTTATTTCTAACAAGATTATTGTATATTATGTTAAAGGGGCTGAATTCAGTTAATTGTACGTGCTTCGCCTTCCCCCAGTCATTTTACCTTCCAACATAATAATGTTTTGATTATAGAGTAAAAACACTGCAATGTGCTTGAATATGCTCTATTATCAATATTGCTATTGATGTATCTCTTTCTATGTGTACCACTTTTGACTCCTCAAAATTTTACTACTTGCTTGAAGAATTCCACAGTAAATATATTTCTGCATTTGTTAAATGCCTTTCAAATCAACACCGCTGCTTTTTCAGAACTTGTGAATACCTTAGAAATAAGTGGTTGCCTCAGGGTTGTCATTGTATAGATTTTCTGTCAGATGTAGATCTTTAAAGAGAAATTCTTTGCAAGCCAAAAACATCTTTAAATTACAATTTAATATAAAAATTTGTCAGTGTTTTTGTAAATTTGGAATTGTGAGAAATTCCACCTCAGTAAGAGATATGCCGATACTTTGGTTAGAATGTGGCTAAACACCATGAATGACTTGATGTATTTTGTTTTCTTCTTTTGATAAATCATGGGGTTTGCTCCTGTTATCTGCTTGAAACACAGTAATGCTGGTAAATTATGCTTAATTTCTTGTTTATAAAACTATTTGAATATTTTACCCTTGGCTTCTTTTTCAGGGAGGATGGACAGATTTTATGGGTGTATTCCAAATTAATTTTCTGTTTACTTTATCTCCGAGGAGGAGTTTTATGGCATTTTAAACTTTTTGCTGTTAAGTATGTTGATTTATATAAAGGTATCATCAAAATGGGAATCAGGACCAGACAGCTGTGTAGTACAAATTCAATTTGGTGCACTGAGCAGCCTACCCATTCACATTTCATTGACTTATTATGTGCCCTTCATGGGGCAATAATTGCCCCTTGACCACAATTTTTGGGGTCTGAAATGCATATCTCTGTGTTGCTTTTGTATGTAAGATTCTTTTCATATGCAATTATTTTTTTTATACTTATGGTACCATCTGGTCAATCAGCACTGAATGAATTGCTTGAAGTTTGGTGGTTTTGACCGAAAATGGACCTCTTTTTGTGTGCCAGATTTTCCAACAGCTTTTGCTATGTTCACTGGCGAAGCAACATTAGAGTTATCACTGTTTTTAAGTGAGACATAGATATTCTATTTAAGGTAAGTGAAGTACTTAGGCTTTTTTTATTTTTTGAGATTCTGTGATTTGTACAAATCATTGAAAAGTAGATTCAATGATATTGTAAATATTTGAGTACTCTTAGAGGAATGTGTACTCTGTGTTCATAACTCAGTTGTTCTCTTTATTTTACAAGTATTGAATAGATATAGAAAATTGTCGGAAGTTTGAATGACTTAAATGTGTCTTCAAAACTCAACCCCTATCACCACAACTAATTGGAGTGATGACCCCTTCTTGTGAATATTCTCAAGCAAAGGTCCTCAGCGTCCTAAGAAAAGCGGAAGCTTCCCTTTATATTGGGGTGATTTTAGTCTTCTGAGACTGACTGGTGTTTTGAGTGGATTCTGAAACAGAGGAAACCATTCTGAACCAATGCATTCTGTAATTATGAAAGTACACATGCTGTCGACAACTTTCCAACCACTGTATTGTACATTGATTAAATAGGTACCTGAATTGTTTGAACAACAGAATGCCTATTCTAACTTTCTGACATAGAGATAGAAGAATCTCTTAAAGAGCAAAAGTTCTCTCCTATTTGAGTTCACTTTCTTGATAGATCCTTCTTTTTGCTGACGTTGGATGCATATGAAGGTGGATGAAGATGTAGAAATTCATTAACTTTGATATTTTATGGTTGAAATGAAAGGTACAGAAACTCATGGATATTATATGATTAGCCAGAGCATTAAACTGGACACCCTCACTTTGTACTTTGTAGAGAAAACAAGGAACAAATAAAATGATTTTAGTGTGAGATGTGTGCCAGCCTGCTATGTTGTTTGAGTCTTCTAAATTAAGAGAAGAACAAGAAAACCAAAACAATAAATAAATAAATAAATAAAGTAACAAAGGATACAATTAACCATCTTTGTTTCTGATTAGTTGGATGAATGCCAGTAAATTTGTTTGTTCAATTTGTTCAATATAGTTTGTCATTATGATATTCTGTTATTTTTCATTTTCAATTTCAGGTTTTGTCACGATTCACTACTACTCTAGTAGTAACCTTTATCAATTTCTATTTGCTGCTGCTACTACTACTAGACGCACATACACATGCATATTCATGTTCTGAGAATTTCCTACCTGCCCATTTCAGTGAAGTTGATGACTTTGCAAATATATTTATGGCCAACAATATTGTCCATACCCTTGTTTTCTGAGATCATGTTTTTGTTTATGTTATTCACAATAAGCGTATCTTCTGTACACACACACACACACACACACACACACACACACACACACACACATACATCAACATTATAATGAATTAATATTATGATGAATTTCTAGGTTCAGACAATTGTTGATGTAAAATTGTAATCTCTACTGGAACTGAATTATTGTGTAACTGAGTTTAAAAATTATTAAATGGAACGTGACCGAAGGGATTGCTTTAATGTCATTTTATATTCTGCATGATCATTTTAGAAGCTAAGATGAATGCTCTGCAGGTCTGAGCCCCTTCACTCACATTGCAGTTGCCAGCTCTTTCTCATTTAGCTATTGCCAAAATTTGGTACAAATTAGTGCTGACCTAGATTAGCCAATAAGTGAAACTATCATCATCTCATCATCTAATATACCCAGTTGTTTTAGCGGTTCATGGCAGCAACATATGATATTAATATGGCAAGGTGACAGAGGCAACAAGTTGAACATTGCAACTACAGGTTAACTGTCCTTTTAGTTCCCCTTTCTCCTTTTTCTTTCTTTATGTTTTCTATTTGATCTGAATCTATATTGATGTTTTACATGCTAGTGCTGCTTTGTTCTGAGTTTTTTGTTTCTTTCATTGAAGATATAAATGTTTTTTGACAACACATCAGAGATATGATATTGGATCTTGTTTTTTAAACTGGATTCATGAAATAGATTATTCAGCCATATTTTACAAAAATTAGTATTTACATCCTCTGTAGGGCTGGTTTTCCTCCAGTCCCTTTACACCTATGATTTACAGTTTGTATTAAAATATTTTACCCTTTCTCTTAACGCCCTTTCAGTCTTCCTAGGACACATAATTTATATGAGAAGGCTCGTGAATACAAAAGTAGCTCATAACCTTTTTGGTTAAGGTAAATTCCCACATGACTTTAGGGCCTCTTCTTTTGTAATATAGCACGTGGCAACTGTCATGAGAAGGGTATTGCCTTTTGAAATATTCTTTGTCCAGGAGCAAGTATTGCCAGAGGGTCGTAAGCAGATTTTCTCTGCACAAAAGCTTCCCAGCGTGGGCCAAAGTGGGCCTGCCATTCTTTCTTTGTAGTGTAATGGGGTAGATATTGCTTGACCCCAAGATGGGCTGTTTCACAGAATTCTAGAATTCTTTTGTTCTGAGTTAAGATGTGTTCTAATCCGTCAGTTCCAGTTGAAGAGGGAACAGCAGATGTAAGGAATGCCACTAAGTAGAAAATATGTTCCTCCGGTATAACTACGGAAGTTCTGTTGCCCCACCTGAAATGATAATTAATAGATCAATCGTTAAGGCAAGCAATGGAGACTTTTGGAGATAATGACACATTTGTTTTAACTGTTACTTTGATCTGTTGACTGGATAGATGAGGATGGGGCCGTTGCTTGTTGCTGTAAGGATACTGCCAAAGACTTCTTCAGCAAAAGTGTGAATTTTGCTTTTTGGTATTAGAAGATTGAGCCATGGGTGTGGAACGTCCCACAAATCTTTTGATCGTAATTTGATCTCAGACACATGTACCCTGTCCAAGAAATCTATGTATGCTACTTCTGACATGAACAGCGTTGAACGGATATAGCTTAACCGAGACAAGTAGTTCTCAACTTCCTACATGCCAGAAAGAAATGTATGAGTGCGATGTTAGTTATGTAGTTACTCATATATACAAATTTAACAACTATTTTCTTGTGAATTTAGGCATTTTAAAGTACTAGGCTTCTGGTGGGCCATTTCAAGCCTCACCTCATTTATTAAGTCAGTCTTGTCCAGGTTGAAGTATTTGGCCAATTCTAGGCAGAAGAGGGTTTTTCCATCTGACTTGAACTGGCTGGCCTGAACTGGGTCCTTTGAATTGAAGGATGATCTCCAGTTGTTTAGCAGACCGGTCCGGTTTATTATCACAAATCCCTCAACGTAGTCAAATGTATTTTCTGAAGATATTAGATGCTCCTGATCTTGGGTAAAGGCTGCAAAATCTGAATACAGGACTCTAATCCATTTTACCTGTTCAAAATGGAGAATTGGGTTAGCAACTGGCACTTTCTACTCCACCTGGAAGCTTAACTTTTGACACATTAGCCTAAATGATGTATAGTTTTTACCCTTGCAGGTGCTGCTTCCAACGATATTCTTGCCCGGGTTATGATGCCAAACTGACCAAGCCCTCCAAGAACACTATGAAATAGGTCTTCATTCTGCTCCTCTGAACAATTTATAACTTCCCCTTTTCCTGCACTCATGTTTGGTTCATCTATTAGTAAGAATTGATGCTTTGCATGCAATAAACTAATTACTTAGAAATTTTTCATGAGCTATAGCCAGAGGATCTTTCATGAGACCAAAGGTCAAAGTAATGACATGTTTAATGAGCAAGCCTGGCGACTCACAATTCAGTTTGAAATTAAAAATTCAGACAAGACAAAATACAAGTTACAATATTATAATTTTCCTATGGCATTGCCACGTCTGATCATTGACGTTGGTCTTTTCTTCCGTGGTGTAATATATACATATATATATATATATATATATATCACCACGGAATAGTTTCGCCACCCCACGGCCCCTGCCCATTCCCCCCCTCCCCTCTGTTTTAGTTTAACAAA